GCGGTCCTTGACCGTCATGAGGTGCATAAACTTGTCGTAGCGCGTGATCGACGCAGTGATCACATCGGGATGCGTCCAGTACTCGAAATGCGGGCACATTTTGTTGACAAAATCGAGTTGCCGGAACATGCCTTGGACCAAGTCGAGGTGGAAGCGCCCGAGAACGTTCTGACGGTACGCCTTGACCGCCGCTTGGATGGTTGACCGCATCGTCGCCACGCCCGCCGTGCTTGCCGCCGAGGCGCCAGCAGCAATGTTGTGCTGCAGCTGCACGACGAACGTCGCCCAAGTGCCGTTGCCAGGCACGTCGGGCACGGCCACGACGTACTCGACGGCGGCATTGCGCAGCGTGCAGTTGACTGTGAAAGACGGGTTGTTCTTCACAAAGGCGGCGAGGTTGAACGTCTCGTAGAGGACGCCACGGCCGCACGACGGACAGTTGATGGCTTGGCTCCGGATGTGCATGAGGTACACCGTGGGCAAGGGCAGCGCCGCGCCGCACGATACGTGAGGGCAGCGCGTGAGAGTGTCAACGAGCGGGGTTCCGGCCTTGAGGCCCTTGCTGTACATAACGGGATGCAGCAAATGCACAGTGTGCGCAAAGTTGCCCAAGACGCCGTTGCTGTAGTCGCGCTCGAGGCTCAAGAAGAGCTCGTAGAGACTGTCGACATCCGGGAGGCCGGCGACGACGTCGTACACCTCCTTCATGTCGAGCATGTGCTGCGTGACTTGTTGGATCGAGACGTTGGAGGGCTTGACGCTGAGCTTGCCTTCGAGCGTCTTCTTCTCGTTTATGGCGACGGCGACCGAGAGAAATGAGTCCCACGTGTCCTTGGTCTCGACCGCCCACGTGTCTGAGACGACCGACTTTTCCAAGTGCGACAAAAAGTCTTCGCGGGCCGACGATGTGGGCGCGTTGAGCGTCAACTTGACCTTGCCGTGCTCGAGCAGCTGGAACGGGAAGAGGCGACTCGCATCAAGCGGCTCGAGCAGCCGCGTCGTGCAGTAGGTCGTGTTGCACGCAAACTTGAGCTTCTCGCCGTCCATGACCTCGAGGGTTTGGCCCGTGAGCACCACTTGGCGCGCCGCCCACTTGGTGACCATGAGGACACGCTCCTTGACCTCGAGGTCCACGACGTAGGAAGCTATCATGACAGACTCGGCGCGTGTAAGCGCCATGGGTGTCTCTTTGCCCATGCTGCAATTTGAAAACTGAAATGCCATAAGTAAGTGCAAACTCGCCAACCAATCCGAGACGAGCAGATATAACGATCCCGCCAATCAGCGCAGTTGAATCTTCGATTGACAACCCAAAGCATCCATGGATCATGGTGGTGCCACGGAGGAAGGTTTTAAATTTTGTGCACGTCGGATGGCCACAGCGAGCATTAAACTCCAGATAGCTCTCCAGATATGATGACCCAAAGAAGATTCTTCGTGCGGAATGTAGGTACGAAATGTGAAAATTCCTTCCCAATTCCAGCACCAATATTTCTGCGTCGTGGATGGGTTGGCCAAACGCCCTTACAAGACATGCTTCTTCGCGCCTTTTCGCGGACCCAGTGTTTCCAGGGGCCCTCATCAACTTGGACGTGGGCGTGTCGCGCTGTGTTATTTCCAGCCACTGCTAGGCTTCAACTCTACAAGTACTTGTAGAATGCTCTGCCTGTGCATCAAGATCATCTAAGCACTAATGTGTGGTTGCATTGCCAGCTCTTGAGCCCATTTCAGATTTGTCATGTTCGCCGACGGGAAGATCGAAGCTTCGGCGACGCCTGCATGTGGATTGGCTGAAATCTTTTGTTTTTTAGCCAATTGCAAGCGGCGATTTTGGCTGCAATAGATTTTTGCTGCAACCCCACATTCTTTACGAAAGCAAAGCGTCGACGATGGACCGCTTGCAGCGCTTGTTCGGCAACCTCCCTGGCATGCAGGGCCATGGCATGGGCGGCGCCAACGATGGACCCGCGGTCGACACGGCCGAGAAGGTCCATATCTCGTCTCTGGCGCTCCTCAAGATGCTCAAGCATGGCCGCGCCGGCGTGCCCATGGAGGTCATGGGCCTCATGCTCGGGGAGTTCGTTGACGACTACACGGTCGTGTGCTTGGACGTGTTTGCGATGCCGCAGAGTGGCACGGGCGTGAGCGTCGAGGCTGTGGACCCGGTCTTCCAGACCAAGATGCTCGACATGCTCAAGCAGACGGGCCGCGCCGAGATGGTCGTCGGCTGGTACCACAGTCACCCCGGCTTCGGCTGCTGGCTCTCGGGCGTCGACATCAACACGCAGCAGTCGTTCGAGGCACTGAACGCGCGCGCCGTGAGTATCGTCATTGACCCGATTCAGAGTGTGAAGGGCAAGGTCGTCATTGACGCGTTCCGCTTGATCAACCCGCAGCTCATGATGCTCGGCCAAGAGCCGCGCCAGACGACGTCCAACATTGGCCACCTCAACAAGCCCAGCATCCAAGCGCTCATCCATGGCCTCAACCGCCACTACTACTCGATTGCGATCGACTACCGCAAGAACGAGCTCGAGGAGCAAATGCTCATGAACCTGCACAAGAACACATGGAGCGACGGCCTTGTCTTGACGCCGTTCGAAGCGCACTCGGCCAAGAACGAAGAGATGGTCGAGCGCATGCTCAAGCTCACCAAGCAGTACAACGAGCGCGTCCAGGAGGAAGACGAAAAGACTGCTGACGAACTCGTCGTGCTCAACGTCGGCAAGGTCGACCCGAAGAAGCACCTCGAGTCGGACGTCTACGACCTCATGGCGCTCAACACGGTACAGTGCCTTGGCGCGATGCTCGACACGATCGTTTTTTAAATCTGCTCGTGTTGAAGCGCGTGAAATGTACTTTCTTCTCGCACGACGCAGTGTCTCTTGTACTTGCCTCGAGCAGCTACCTGGCAGGCGACATGAGCTTATCGATGGCCTCCTTCTCGGTCGACGTACGCTGCACGAAGCCAGTACCGCGGGTATTGGCGCTGTACGTTGTTGACAAGGACGCTGACCTAGAATCCGTCGTTGCATGAGCTCCGTGTGCATGCTTGCAAGGGATGCACCGCCACGAGTACGCAGCTGCCAATCAAGATGGGCGAGACGACGTAGAAGAAACCGAGGTTGCGCACCGCCGGCGGCGAGATGACGGCGAGGAGGGCCGTCGCGCCGCCAGGCGGGTGCATCGTGTCGGTGAGCTGCATGGCGACCAAGGAAAGCGACACGGCGAGCGCGCAGGCGAGCCACATGTAGTCGCCGCTCAGGTTCGCCTTGGCGATACTCACGCCGATCGTGGCCGAGAGCACGTGCCCGCCAATGATACTCTACACTTGACCGTGAGAAGCTGCTACGAAGGAGATGCAGTCTCCTCTACCCGAGGCTGGGCGAATGGCGCGTCGACGCCGCCAAAGACGAGGACGGCGGTCGCACCAAACGACCCAACCAAGCTCGTGGCCTACACGTTGTGATCCTTTGAGCTTCAGTGCCAAGCGTACCTTGATGTCGCTCGGGTAGAGGTATAGACGCGTGTTGTACTGCAGCAGACTGAGAAGCGAAATGCCGAGGAAGCAGCTCACAAAAGACCAGAGTAGGATCCGGCGCTTTGCTTGCCCGAGCGTCGCGTCTTGGGCCCGCGCGGCCATGATCTTTCGGTCGCAGAGAAGCATGTCCAAGGCAGGGTTGACCTCCTTGAGCCGCGCAAGGTCGTCGATACCTCGCATCTTGGCGACGTACTGCTTGCCACTCCGCCACAGCATGCTCCTCGCGTGTTGCCGTAACGAAGAAACGGCTTGTAGATCCCTCGGCGGACGGAGTCGACGGCGACGTGCCTTCGTTGTCGCTTTGCAAAATCGTCAATCGTCCATCGGGGGCTATGAACATGCTGCGTCTGTCTGCTGCCACCGCCACGGACATCCTCGCTGCGGCTGGGATCCGGCATGACGTGGCACGCTACGGATGCGTCTAAAAATACCTGGCCTTGCGGTTCAAGGCTTGAAATAGCTGCAACGCCACTTTGGTTCGTGCCGCCAGCAAGAGAGAGGAGCGAAGGATGCAGCGGGAAGAGTGCATCTACAACCTCATTCCCAAGGTGGTCGTCGTGCCCGAGAAGCCCAAGCGATACCACTCGACGCACGACCCGCAGACGCAGCCAACGGCGTCGACGTTTGGCCTCCACGGCAAGACCAAGCTCCTCGGGTCCAACCTTGGGCCTGAGAAGCCCAAGAGCCCGCCGGAGCAAGCCAAGACGTTTGGGAAGCTCCACGAGCAGCCCAACCCAAAGGACTTTATCAAGAAACAGTCCAAGTGCAAAATGCCAGAGTCCAAGCGTACACAAAATATGTCATGTCGATGGTCAAAATGCCATTTTTGTATGTAGCTACCCGATTCAACTATACTGGTCTCAAGAAGGCGGCCGTTGTCAAGGCCGACGAGAAGCCCGTCATGGGTCTCAAGACGTCCAAGAACTTTATCACGGCCAACGCGGTCGAGGCCATTCTTGACGTGCCTGGCAACCGCGCCCGCGCCAAGAAGGAGCCGCCTGTCTACCGCCACAAGCCCGACTTTGGCAAGGTACAACCTCGCTATCATATGAACTTGACGAGTCACGCGAGACGTAGGTGCCCGAGTACCTCGGCGAGGTCAAGCAAGAGATTGAGCAAGAGAACGAAATGATCGAAGAGTTTGTGCGTCAAAACAAAAATATTCTCGCCGACCAAGAGCCCAAGGTCGAGCCCATGGACGACGACGAGCGCGCCAAGCTCATCGCAGCGCTCAAGGCCAAGTGGGACCACGTCAACCAGAAATATCAAAAGCTGTGCCACAACGTGTCGTTCGACACGCAGGGCAAAGTGCGGCGAAAGGAAACGTACGAGAAGGAGCTCACGCAGCTCGAGAAGGACATTGAGCTGCTCTCCAAAGGCGGCGTCGCAATTGCCCGCGACTACTAGCGTCAAAAATATCATACCTTTTCCCGTGTACACTATTGTCCTTCAGCCGCATACTATCTCCCATCTATTACATTTGTAGAGTACCAGCATCTATCAGTCTCTTCCGATGTCGACAAGCAGTGGTGGAGCGCAGAGCAAGTAGAAGAATCGGCGACCAGCCGAGCGATACGGTGTGGCTGCGTGCATTTGATGCTCCCATATCAGGTTCCAGTAGTACGCCCACAACGTCTGGCTCAACGCGTCTTACTAGGATATCGGAGTGGCCTGTTGTTGATCAAACTGTCCAGTCCAAGTCCAATTTGATGGGGGAGAGATAAGCTTAGCGTTAGAGGGTTAGGTGCTAATGAGCCAGTAGCGCGGGAATTGGCGCTCAATGTTGTTGAAAATGACGCTGACCTACACACAGCGTGAGATTATAGTTGGAAGGACAGATGGCGATCGGCATATACCCCGACAAGAATGCAGCTGCCGACAAAGACGGGAAACACGGCGTAAAAGAAGCCGAGGTTCTGAATGTCTTGGCCCGACGTGACAGCGATGAGCGCGGTGGCGCCGCCGGGCGGGTGCACCGTGTCGGTGAGCTGCATGGCGACCATCGAGAGCGACACGGAGAGCGCGCAGGCGACCCACATGTACTCGTCAATGTTGGTCGCCGTGTAGAGCACCTTGGCGATCGCGACGCCAATAAACGCCGAGAGCGTATTGCCCAAAATTGCATTCTACAGTGTCCACTCAGATCGGCAATACGACAATATAATTGTCTTGTACCCGGGGCTGCGCGAGCGGCGCTTCAACGGCGCCAAAGACGAGGATGGACATGGCGCCAAACGACCCGATGAGCGTCGTGACCTTTTGGTCGGACGGGTAGAGGTAGATGCTCGCGCTGTACTGCATCGCCGCGAGGATCGCGATCCCGACAAAGCTGCTCAGAAACGACCACCACAGCACGCGTGCCTTCTTGGACGCCAGGTCCGGCACCTTGGCCAACGCCGGCAGCGTCTTGCGGTCGCAGACAAAGAACTCGAGGGACGGGTTGACCTCCTTGAGCGCGGGCAGGTCGTCGCGCCCGCGTATCTTGGCCACGTACCCGCGCAGCCAGCGCATGGCGCCGGACGCGGGCTCGTCATGGTTGTTGTCGTCGTCGTCGACCGCCTGCAGGTGCATGGAAGGACAGTTCATGTCGACGAAACGGTCCGATGTGGGTGTCTCGAGGAGCACATGATGCGGCGGCGCCAAGTGCTTGTCGACGCTCGGGGCGATCTCGGCCATGGAATTTGGATTTTGCGGAATGGTCCACGGTCCATTTCCATCATTACGCGAGCTTGGGATTGCGAGGCCAATCGCAAGTGCATATACAAACAGCTGGCATGCGACGCTGCGCCACCGAGCTGCTGGAAGGGCCGCGAAGCTCCGCTCAGCGCCGCCCTGGAAAAAACATTGTTTCGAGCTGCCGACGATGGAGCCTACCTAGCACGAGGCTTTGGCACGCCGCAGTGACGGGCAGTACGTCTTGCAAAACGAGAAGAATCACATGGTGCTAGCAGCGTCATTGCACCAAGTCCTGCGCTCACGCGAGTATCGTGCTTGGACTGGTTGGACGCCAGAAGATTACTACGTACAATGTCGGTGGGCTTGAGATGCAGCGGCCTGTGCAGGGTCATTCGGACGGTCGTTCGCACGGAGCTGGTTTTTGCAGTGTCGCCAAATGACAAGCTGCACGTCGTTTCATGCTGAACGGTGCGTGTTACGTTATCAATGGTGATCAATCTCGCTAGATTTTGGGGTGCTGCAACACGAGCAACTCAATGCGAGAGAAGGGACTTCAGAAGATCTGCAAGGTCCAGGTGTCACTGGGTACCTTGGCGTTGAGCTCCTTGTTGTGCCAGTCAACCAAGGGCAAGAGATTTCTATCGTCGTCTCCTCCATCGAATTGCGAGCTGATCCAAAGCTACGCTAGAGGTCAGCGCGAATCCGAAGGCGAAGGGAGTTGTCGCTGCCTTGAACGTCGCTCGTGCTTGCTTCTGCGCTCTGCACTGCTACAACCAAGGTATGATTCCCTTCGGTACTACAATCGACGATGTCCTTGCCGTCTTCAGGATATACCAGCGCTGTGCAAGTAAGACTGCTAGTAGTAGATGATGCTACGGGAGCGATACCGCGTCTGATAAAGTCGTGGCGAGTGGCCGCACCGTAACCTGGATGGCCAAGTTGCACACTGCACTTGTGTGCGCTTGACCGCTACCAGGGGTCGCCATGCTTCCACGAGGACACTAGATAGGCGAATCATGTATCCCAGTACGGTTCCTCGCAAGCAGCGAGTTTGAGGTGCTGTCGCCACCACCACCATCCATGGCAGGCCAACGGCAGCATGGCGGGACGGGGCGGCTCTGCCTGGCGGCGCCACGTGATTGGCTGTTGTTGTGGCCGACCATCATTCATGCGCGAATTGCCTTGAGCAGTACGTCCGGAAGGTATCCGGATGAGGATGAATTTGAACCGTGGGCTCCAATTCAAAGGAAGAGAGTGCGTGAGCATGTCGTCCCCTGCTACCGAAGTCCCGCCGCCTGCCGACGCGCCCGTTCCGGCCGCCGACGCCGCCACGCCGCCGGCCGCCCCCGCGGAGGCCGAGTCCGACGCCTTCAACACTGGTACGCTCCATGCATCCTGATGGGCGAACCTCCTATGGACGCATTGCCACAGACGACATTGCCAACACGCTCGAGCACATCATGGCCATGGGCCAGGGCCTCGACGACCAAGAGTACACGGACGAGCTGCATGTATGCGCCACCACCATTGCCTCGAGCCGCTTGATGCGACGTGTACGCTAGGTGCTGCAAAACGACCCGAACACCAACTTGTACTCAGCCGTGACGTTCGAAGAGCTCAACCTGTACCTCGATATGCGCCTACAACCATGCTCATACACACCTTGTAGCCCCGAGAACTTGCTCAAGGGCGTGTACGCGATGAAGTTTACCAAGCCCTCGAAGATCCAGTCGGTCGCGCTGCCCATGATCCTCTCCAAGTCTGTGCTCCGCGATGACCATCATGTTCTTATGCGTCTTTGTAGCCCGCCCGAGAACCTCATTGGCCAAGCGCAGAGCGGCAGTGGCAAGACGGCAACGTTTGTCCTTGGCATGCTCTACCGCGCGTCGATCGATGCGAACCAGAAGAAGCCGCAGTCGCTCTGCCTCGCGCCGACGCGCGAGCTCGCCCGTCAGATCATGGCCGTCGCGACCATCATGGGCAAGTTTTGCGACATTGAAACCTTCCTCGCCGTGCCAGGCAACGAGCTCGAGAAGGGCCAGTCGGTCACGGCCCAGATCGTCATTGGCACGCCCGGGCGGATCGAGAGCCTCATCAAGCGTCGCCAGCTCGACCTCAAGGACCTCAAGATCTTTGTGTTGGACGAAGCCGACGTGATGATCGACGAGTCGGGCATGCGCGACCGGTCGCTCGCGATCAAAAAGTAGATCTTATTGCGGCACCAACTCGAGTCTTATCGTCTTGTAGGCAGATCCGCAACCCCAACTGCCAAATGCTCTTGTTCTCGGCCACGTACGCGGATGACGTGCGCGAGTTTGCCGAGAAGCTCGTGCCCAACCACAACATCATCACGGTCAAGAAGGAAAAGCTGTCGCTCGACGGCATCAAGCAGTTTTGGATCGACTGCAAGTCGCAAGCCCACAAGTACGACGTGCTCTCGGACCTCTTTGGCCTCCTCAACGTCGGCAAGAGCGTCATTTTCGTGCAGTCGCGCGAAACCGCCAAGAAGCTCACGGCCAGCATGCGCGAGAAGGGCCACTCGTGCGGGATCCTCCACGGCGCCGACATGGCCCTGGAGGTCCGCGATAAAGTCCTCGACGAGTTCCGCCTTGGCACGACCAAGGTGCTCATCACGACCAACGTGCTTGCACGCGGCATTGATGTGCTCGGTGTCTCGCTCGTTGTCAACTTTGACATTCCCGTCAACCGCGAGAACCAGCCGGTACGCAGTCTTGATACCGGCTTATAGATATCTGAGCGGCGATCGTATGCATTAGGACCCGGAGACGTACCTCCATCGCATCGGCCGTACCGGTCGCTTTGGCCGGAAGGGCGCCGCCATCAACTTTGTGCACGACAACAAGTCGAAGCGCGACTTGGCCGAGATTGAAAACTACTACGAGAAGGAGATCGTCATGGCGCCGGCCGACGACCTCGAAGCGCTCGAGAAGCTGCTTTCGTGGACGTAAATTCGTACAAGATAGTACAACACGGAGCTTTTGGGCTCTTTTGATTGTCAAAATATCGGAATCGCGACCGAGCGAAAGAGCCACAGAGTGGTTTCAACCGTGTAAGGCGAGCGTCTGAAAATGATGCGGGATGTAGCCCACAGTGGAGCTCCACGATAATGGCCTTCGGTATCGTCGAGGCCAGCCGTGCTACGAGGCCTGTGGGTGCGCGTCTACTGGTCGACTTCGACTGAACATGCTGAACGGCCGACTGGACCGACCGAGGATGAGGCCAGAATTGCGTCCTTTGGTGGAAGTTTACATGTTTATCGAGGTGGGAAATGCTGGTATGTCGGGCGTATGGTGTGGCCGATCCTACGAGCCTGTGTGCTGCACACTGTCTGACGACCGCGTCTTCCGTCCCGAGGTGGCCACCCGCGCTGCGCTCTTGATCCAGCTGCAACGTCCCACTTGCTGCTCAATAGCCTAGCCTCTTCCACACGATGGACGCCCTGCGCCACGACGCCTGGCTTCGCGACCATCTCGTCCCGGCTTGCCATACGCATCACCTTTAACACGGCAAAGCCTCGCCGCGGCTCCCGTCTAGCTCAAGTCGAAAGTCCAACCAAGCCCGTTCAGTGGGATCATATCTCCATCGCCTCCCTTCAACAACCAGCCTGTCCAGTCGTCACTGCGTTGTTCTGTCTCGTGGTTGACACATATTTGTTGCAGAGTTCCGACGCCAATGATAGCGAAGGGGATGCGAGCGTTCGTCACAACCGGCTCTGTCTGCAGCACCACCGACTTGGACTTTGGTGCGGATCCTGCACGCAGATAGCAATATGTACGTAGCTGTCCATTCTACATGAAGCTCATTATTCTTGGCGGGTCGGAGGTGCTCGGCGGTGTGCGCTCCACGCCGCCTCAACGCTCTCTCGATACCATCGATCCGCAGTAGCTTGTTTCGAGCGACAACAACGAGCTGGGATGATACCCGAATGATGGCTGCAGAGGCGCCGGAGAAACCGAGAGCGATATGCACGTCGTACGCGCCACCGGAGAGAGTTCGCCATCTGGCACTACGTGTACAAACGATCTGCGGACGCTTGGACGCTGCTGCGCGATGGCCGTAGCTCGCACTCGACAGAGTCGGTAGACCATCAACTCTGCGTCCTAGTCGCCGACCTCGACTTTGGTTTGATGAGCTCGCGTAGCTGCAATTCGTGCGTGGTGATCGACCGACTCTGTAGTCGTTGCTCCACCCATGACGCTCCAACAGCTGGCCGTGCGACACAGTGTAGCCGACAAATCGTGTGCGACCGGCCTCTTATACCACTCCCACTGAGACCAAGCGAGCTGCCTCGAGGTCATCATTTTCACATTGGACTTACGATGCGCATGCTCGCAACGTACTTTGCGCTGCTGGCGACGACGGTCGCCGTCGTCTCGGCTGCCACGTCGACGTGTTCGGCGATTATTGAAAACACGGATCTGCCCGGGAATGACCTCAGCACGACGGCTCGCCCGACCGCCGACGGTTGCTGCGCCGACTGTGTCGCCACGCAAGGCTGCAAGGCCTACGTGTGGGTCGCTCGTAACGGCGGCGTCTGCCTCCTCAAGAGCGGCGCTAGCTTTAGCTCCCCGTACACCGGCGCCCGCGCGTCGATTCTGACGCCGCCGCTCACAGGCTCGTGCCCCGTGACGGAAGCCAACACGGACTATCCTGGCAACGACCTCGGCCGGACTCAGCGCGCATCGATTGGCCTCTGCTGCAACGACTGCGAGGCGACACCGGGCTGCGCACGCTTTGTCTACTTTGGCGGCGACTGCATCCTCAAGTCGGGTGGCGGCGCCAAGGGCACGTACCCCGGCGCGATCGCGTCGAGCTTTGTGCCGGCCAATTCGACGGCGGCTCCGACGCCCGCACCGACGCCGGCACCGGCGCCGGGGCCAACGGCGCCGCCGGGCACATGCGCACCGATCCTGGACAACACCGATTACCCGGGGTTTGACATTTCGCAGACGACGCAGGCGACGGCCGAAGCCTGCTGCGACGACTGCTACGCCAACCTCAACTGCAAGGCGTTTGTGTGGAACCCGGCAGGCTACTGCATCCTCAAGAGCGGCAAGGGCGCGGTCTCTTCGTACCCGGGTGCCCGGGCGTCGACGATCCCGTCGCGGATCCCGCCGCCACCGACGATGGTCGGCTGCAACCCGATCGCCAACAACATGGACATTGAAGGCAACGACCTCACGTCGACGTTCCAGTCGGCGGCGGAAAGCTGCTGCGCCGACTGCACTGGCACGCCCGGCTGCCGTGCGTTTGTCTTCGACTCGGCGGGCGGCGTCTGCTACCTCAAGACGGCAGGCGGTACCTTGGTGCCGACGACGGGCATGCAGGCGTCTGTGCTGCCGGTGGCCAACCCCGCGACGTGCGATGCGCTCCCAAAGGACATTGATTACCCGGGCAACGACGTCGCTCAGACGTACCGCACCCAGTGGAGCGACTGCTGCCAAGACTGCGCCGACAACACCGACTGCACCGTGTACGTCTGGAGCACTGACGACGGCGGCACCTGCTACCTCAAGAACGCCAAGAGCCCGACCGTGTCGGCGCCCGGGTCCTTCGCCGGCGCGATTGTCCGCAAGGTCAAGCCGCCGCCGGTGACACCGCCGTCGGCAGCGTCCAAGGTCGTTGCCGGTGCCTACGGCGCGTACCCGTCGCCGACGACAGCGTTCGCGTACGTCCCCAACTCGCAATGGGTGCCGTTGACAGAAGAGGGCTCGGTCGGTGGCGTCGATATTTTTCAGAAGTTCCCGCTGCCGACCCCCGAAGAGATGGAGGCGATGCACGTGGCGACGCCCCAGCCGCTGCTCGAAGCGACGACCAACACGTACTACTTCCCGCTCGTGCAGTCGATGGGCGAGTGCGCCGTCATGTCGAGCAGCACGGGCTACAACTTCTTCACGTACGTGACGTCCACCCAGATCTGCGTCGTCCACAACTTCATGTCGGCCACGGTCTCGTACGCACTGCATCCGTCGCAGCCCGCCAAGGTGCTCACGCAGGTCCCTTCCTCAGACTTTGTCCTTGGCACCAACACGTCAACGGCGTCCCTCGCAGCGTGCCAAGCGGCGTGCGGCAACCTCGCCACGTGTGCGACGGTGACCTTTGCGGGGACCACGTGTACCTACTTCGGCCCCGCATCGTCCAAGGTCGGTGTCATCGCGGGCTGGGTCCATGACCCAATCAAGTGGAATGAAGTGCCTGGCTCGATGCAGTATGTCACCATGACGCAGCGGACCGTGCCGCTGACGGGTGCGACAACTGCGGCTTCCAGCACCTCCAAGACGGTCGCCGCGTGCGCGTCTGCAGCCCTCAGCAAAAAGGTGTCGCTCTTCACGTTTGATACGAGCGCGAGCGCGTGCTTGCTCGTGACGCTGCCAAAAGCATCGGCCACAACGACCTTGTATCTGTACAACTACCCGACGTCACCGCTTGTTCTTGCGGGCCAAGCGCTGCCGGCCGGTGCGACGACGACAGTCGCGGCGACCTCTGGCACCGAGTGCCAAAAGCTCTGCGTGCCGTCGAGCTCGGGCTGCATCGGTGCGGCGTTCGACACGGCGAGCAAGAGCTGCGTCCTCTACCTGGCCACGTACGCAGCCTCGACGACGGTCGGGTGGGTCGTGCCCACGACGCTACCTACGGCGGTGGCGGCGCCGACGTCTGTGGACCTTTATATCAATGCGCACCAGGACGACCACGAACTCTTCATGTCGGCCAAGCTCTACGACAGCTTCCGCAACCCGAGCGCCAAGATCGTCATGATCTACACCTCGGCGGGCGACGCCGGAGCGACCAACGGCTGGTGGCAGGCGCGCGAGCTCGGCACGTTGGCGTCGGCGCAGACGTTCGTCAAGCTCTTTGGCCTGTACTCGCCTGTCCGGACCTCGACGACCGTCACGGTCAACGGCCACGTCATCACCAAGGTTGTCATGGGCAACGCGATCCACTACTTTTTGCGGCTTCCCGAGGGCGGTATGACCTCGCTGCCGACCAAGAAGACGTCGCCCGTCGACAAGTCGAGTGAGTCGTATGCCAACGTCGCCGCGCTCCGAACGACGGTCATGGCGATCGTCAAGCTCGAAGCCAAGGGTTTCAGCAACGTCGTGGTCAATTCGCAGCAGTTTGCCGACGTCGACCACGTGCTCCACGCGATGACCGGGCAGCTCGTCAGTGACGGGCTAACGGCCGACGCGACGCTCAACAAGTGCGTGACGCGCAACTTCTTCTGGGGCTACCAGCACTGGCTCGACTCGATCAACATGGTCGACCCGAGCTTGACCGAGCAGCGCAACATTTGGTGGGCACTCCATAGCGCGATCGTCAAGCAGTACCCCGGCAGCTCGCCGTGGTACGACCACGTCCAAGCGCTCGGTCGGCAGTACCTCGCGTCGACCGTTGCGGGCACTGGCACGTGCTAATCAACAGTATGCACGTCGTAATTCATACTCTAATTGACAATGTGTGCGTTTTATCTTAAAGTTAGGAATGAAGGCATGAGCCAGCTCATATTCCTCATCGAGTGCAGACGGCAGTTGGGTCGAGTGCCAGTACCGGTAGAGCACCAGTACCGAGCGATGGAACGTGTCGGTGACAGGGTGCAAAGTCACCTTCCGACGCCCCCCTTGTGTGTCTTTGTCCCCACCAACCCAGGTAAACACTTGGGGTGGACACGACCGGCATGACCTCGTTGTTGGCGAGTCTGCGCGAGAGGTACGTACAGAACGACTGCTTCAACGCCGGAAATTCGGCCGCAGGCGTGGGACGCAGCTGAATTTGCTTGTGGGAACAGCATGCGTTGGACACGATTGTCCAGAGGGTCATTCGTCCCTATCACGCCTCCTCATGGCTGCAGTGGACTTTGGGGTTGGACACCAGTCTTTTCGAGTGTGACGTCGTGTCCACATGTGACGAGGCCACTCGTCGATCTGATTTGTGATCCTGCTGCGAAGAACAACCCACTGCTTCATGGCTGGCTTCGTAGAGATGCTCACGCTGCTATAGTGCGTTGCTATGATGGTACCCAACACCACAGACGCGGTGTGGAAGAGTGGCTGCCATGGCCGGGGCGACTGTGTTTTTGTTTCAAGGCGTGTGCGATTGTTGCGGATGGGCAGCCCCTCGACATCAGACGGCGCCGCCATATGTTTTGCAGTGACACTCGTTCGTGGTTCCTTGGTCGAATCCAAGATCGAGGTCTGTTCATTTTACGATTGAACACGCCATGGGCAAGAACGACCCGACTCCCGCTGCAGCGCCGCTGGCCGTGCCCGTGCCGACCAAGGCACTGGACGGCGCGGCCGCACCGCCAACGGCATTGTCTGCCGACGATCTCTCGTACGTTGTCGACATGGAGGTCAAGGAGTCCAAGCTTTTCCTCGCGACGTGGACCACGCGGCAGATTGCGCTGACGACCCAAACGCTCGAGATTCTCGACGGCAACAAGCTCAAGTTTGCTTGCAACACGACCAACTGCACGACGCGCGTGCTGCCCGCCATCGATGCCAAGCGGGCGTTTCCGTTCGAGCTCCTCGAGCACGGCAAGACCAAAGCTCTCTTCAACGCACAAACGGCCACCGCGCGCGACGAGCTCTTGCGGCGTATTGAAGCTGCAGCCGCCGGTGTCGCGTGGGAGTCGCCGACCAACCATTGGGACAACTTTTTGTCGGTGGCGCGCCGCATCAACGAGGCCAAGGCCAAATACACCAGCGTCCCCAAGAGCAATGTGAGCGTGGCGCTCGTTCAGCGCCATTTCCAAGAGATGGTGCACATCTACAACGTCGCGGGCAGCTTTGCCACTATTGACGAGCTCTACGCGTTCTTTCTCGACCAAGAGCGCGAGTACGTCAAGGGCGAAGCGCGCGCCGGCAACTTTGCGCAGACTGTGCACCAGCTGCACCCGATCTGCTACGCCGAGGGGAAGAAGCAGCGTTCGTTTTGCTCGGCGATTGGCGACATCATCACGCACTGTGCGCACCGCAACTGCCGCGCGCCACTCCCGTTGCGCATGTCGTTTGGCCTGCACATTTTGCAGCAGCCCGGTGTGTGCCCCGCCTGCAACCGCCCGCTCTACTACGAGACGTACAAGATCCTCGACTTTCTCGATGCGACACCGGCTGTCCTCACAAAGTACTCGACGATGACGGGGACAAGCACGATGGTGTTTACGCCGCCCGAGATTCCGGACGATGGCCGCTTCGAGACGTTCTTTGACCTCTTGATCGACATGCTCTTGCGCTGCGAAGACGGCACCATGTACGCGTCGCGCGTGCTGCGCTTGAGCGTCACCGACATGGCGCGCAAGACGCTCCAGCTTCCGATTGGCGCGTTCAATATCGACTTGGTCCAAGGCATGTTCCGGCAGCTCGACTTTGTCAACAAGATGGTGCCCCACACGGAGTATTGGATGCACCCCGAGGTCATTACCGCGTCGATTTTTCGCTACGAGCAGTTTCTGTCCCTCATGGGCAAGATCGAGACGGACGCTATCGGGCAAATGGTCACCATGCTCGTGCCCACGTCCGACATTGACCTCGTGTGGCACGCCCACCAGACCACCGGTCGCCCGTACCGCGACTACTCGCGCAGCGTCAACAAGAGCAAGATGATCATCGACCACGACGACACGATTCCTGGCGGCGATCTCGCGAAGGGATATGCCGATACGTTTGTGCTCTGGTCGCAGACGTTTGGCGAGGCGTACTCGAGCTTTCCGCCGAGCTACGAGGCATGGATCGCGTCGTCGTCGCCCGACCCGATCACGCGCCACGTGCTGCGGAAGAAGTGGGCCAAGCACGGCAACGTGCCCTCCAAGAACAACCGGTTCTACGGCGTCAACGAAACCTGCGTCGTCGAGGCGCTCCCGTACGCCACGGCGGTGGCCGAGGCCAACGCAGTCAAGCCCGAGAATGTGCTCGAAGCGGTCCCGATTTACATCACGGTCATTGGCACGCCCGTCATGGATGGGCGCGTCCGCATGCCGTACTCGGTGCAGTCGATGATGATGTTTGACGGCGGCCTCCCGTACTACTACATGCCCTTTATGTTTGTCGGTGGCTGCGGCGGCTACGGCTACTTTGGCATGCATGGCGGCTGTGGCGTCATCGGCAGTGGCTGCGCCGGTGTGACCGGCGGCTGTGGCACGTTTGCGGGCGCCGGTGGCTGTGCTGGCGGCGGCGGCGGCTGTGGCAGTGGTGGTGGCTGCGGCGGCGGCGGCGGTTGCGCCAGCGGCTAAGATCCAAGTGCCAATAATTGAGAGAATCGATCTAAGATCTAATGCACTACGTTTACGTTTGCGTCCGTGTCGGAGTGACGTGATGGCAACGCGATACTTCTTTTGGAATTTTTGAACATTTGCTCATCAAGTCCTAAGTGCTGCAGAAGTATGGAGTCTTGGCCAATCAAGTGCATCGTCACGCAATGGTAGCTCGCAGTTGTCACTTCTTGGCTCCCCATTGCACGTGCGTCTTTGGTGCTGAGAACCTCAAGCGCACCTGAGAACCTCAAGCGCACACATCGCCAGCGTTTAAAAATTGGGTGTATCCTCCAGCTGCAATTACCGATCGCGTGCCGTCGGGTCTTTGTACGATGGGATCGTCTCCTACACAAGTCGACGATGGTGCATTTGGTTCCTGTGTTTCGTGCGCCGATTCTCGAAACCTTCTAGAGTCGGTGGCTATCACGGGTTCAAAGGCGCCGAAAAGCGGTGGCTGCCAACTTCTTACGAACAACGCCGGCTGCTTGCGTCTCATTCGGTCGTTGATCAAAGCCACTTGTCGGGGCTGGGGAAATATTTGTCGATGCGTACGAACGTCACATGCAGACGTGCATTCCGGGCAAAGCTTCCAGGAGACCTGTACAGTGCTCGGAAGTGTTTTTCTTGGTCGTTTGCAGAGTCAACTTAGGCCGAGGAGCTGCCCGCTTGGCGCGTCGTGATCCTGCGGAGCCTTTGGTGATCTTACGGATGTCAATCGAAGATTGGAGCGCGTTGATTGGTGCGATCGTGTCATGTCTGCTTGACTGATTGGCTTGCCGTATTGCACTATTGCACTTGTGTCCAGCGCCACTTGGCAACTTGCAGCATGGGCCAAGAAACCCCGATGACACTCACCCGCGCCGAGTCCACTCTCGTGGCCATGTACGAAGTGAACCTCGAGGTCAAGGAGCGTGTCCTCATGGTCACCAAGTGGGCGGCGCGCCAAGTGGTGCTCACGGGTCAAACCCTCGAGGTCATGGACGGCGAGAAGCTCAAGTTTGCGTGCAACACGACCTACTGCACGGTGCGGCTGCTCGAGCCGCTTGATGCAAGTCGCTTCTTCCCGTTTCAGCTCGTCGAGAACGGCAAGGTCAAGGTGACGCTTAACGCGCCCACGTCATCGGCGCGTGACGACTTTTTGTCGCACTTGGAAAAGTCGGTCGTCTCGGGCACGTGGGCGGTCGAGACCAAGGACACGTGGGACTCCTTTCTCTCGGTCGCTGCCGCCATCAACGAGAAGAAGGCGCTCGAAGGCAAGTTCAGGGTCAAGCCCTCCAACGTCTCGATCCAACAAGTCACGGAGCACATGCTCGACATGAAGGAAGTGTACGACGTCGTCGCCGGCCTCCCGGATGTCGACAGTCTCTACGAGCTCTTCTTGAGCCTCGAGCGCGACTACGGCAACGGCGCCTTGGGCAGCTTTGCGCACACTGTGCATTTGCTGCATCCCGTTTTGTACAGCAAGGGCCTCAAGGCCGGAAGCCCGCTCGTTGACACTCTCACGCGCTGCCCTCATGTATCGTGCGGCGCGGCGCTGCCCTTGCCCACGGTGTACCTCATGCACATCCGGAGCCAAGCCATCAACTGTCCGTCGTGCGGCCGGGGCGTCCTCTACGAGACGTTCAACCTCGCGGCGTTCGTGGCCAAGCACCCGTTGTTCACGGTCCACTCCACGCTGCAAAATGTCGCAAACAAGTTCGTCGTGGCCGTGCCAAACGTGCCCGATGATGGCTCGTGGACGACGTTCCTACGGCGCCTGCGGCGCAAAATCGCTGCCGGTGCCTCGATGATAAGTCGCGAGGGCGTCTCGATCATGCGGCTCACGATCCAAGCGGCGGTCAAGGCGTACCGTCAGAACGTTCTCGGGCGCTTCCACCTCGACTTGGTCCAAGGCATGTTCCGGCAGCTCGATTTTGTCAACAAGATGTGCCCGCATTTCGAGTACTGGACGCATCCCGATGTGATCACTGCGTCGATCACGCGCTACGACAAGTTTATGCACCTCATGACGGTCAAGGACCGC